TCTGCGGTTGGTCTCTTTCTCTTGGCCACCATCCGAGTCCTCTGGCGAATCGCCGCGAGGGGAAGTGCGACGTCCGTGGTTGGGAGAGGGGGGGGGCATCGCGCAGGGCCCTCTCGAGCTGGTGCAGAACGGCTCGGCTGGCCGCCGGCGCCGATGTTCGCTCAGAAGCTCCAGCGAGTCAGGAGTGGAGAAAACACACAGACACAATGACTCGTCGATTCCACAGAAAATACGGGAAAATATGGGAAGTGGGGGGGAAGACGAAACCCCAGAAAATATGGGAAAGTATGGTGAATCCTTTTATTTGTGTTTATCTATTTGTCTGTCCCACGGCCCCTTCAGCGAGGGCAGCTCGCGGTGGGGTGGGGGAGTTTTTTTTTTTTTTTTCATCCGGCGGTCGCTGATGGGGCCAAGCCCCTGCCCCCCAAGGTTGTCCGGGGGGAGGGGATGGAATTCAGCCGGGCGGGTTCGGAGAAGATGAGCGTAAACGGGGCGAATTCGAACCAGATGACTTTAATCCGGGCGAAGTAAAACCGGATGAATTTACACCTGGGCGAATGTACACCAGACGAAGTGAAACGGGTGGAACTAAACGTATGCACGTAACAGGGGTGAAGTCAAACGGGTGAACTCAAACGGGTGAATTCCTCTTCGGGTGAAACAAAGGTAAATGCCGGGCAACGGTGACGCTCGAAAGGAGGGGGGTGGTCTGGACCTCGCCCCCCCTCATGCTGGTGCTCGGGTGCATAATATGGCGATCGCAGCTCACCCCCGTCCAGAGATGCTCCACCCCGCCCGAGCGTTACCGTTGATAACCTGAGGCCCAAGCCCCCTTTCCCCACGTCTCCTGGGTAACGACCGTTACCGGAAACCATGCACAACAATCTCGGGGGGCGGGCTGGCGGGGGCGGCACAGGGGGGACGTCAAGCGAGAGATTCGAAGTCCACCAGCCGCACGCGTCCACCACGTGCGAATCTGATGCGGTGTTCTGGGTTTGGGCTCGGAAGGGAAGGGGGCTGGTCCTGCTGTCTTGATTCTCGGGCTGGTGACGATCATGCGGGCGGGCAGCATGCTCCCTCCGAGTGTTTGTTTTTTGCTCGGTGGCGAAATCCGACTTTCACCCTGGCCGATCCATGATTCAGGCAATTGGATGGGCGGCGCAGGTAGGGTTCGGAATTCGCCGGACACGTGACGAAAGCCGAATTCTACCCCCGCGTCACATCGGTTTCGATTGCTGGTGGGGGTACGTAATTAGGGTTCTTAGGTGTTCGATCATGGGCCCCCTGTTGAACACAACTATCCATTTCGCGCCGAAGACTGCTGGGAACCGCAAGAGACCGCCAGGCACCGCCGAAGACCGCCAGAAACCGCCGAAGACCGCCGAAGACCGCCCGATGACGTCCGAAGATCGCCGAAGACGGCACAGGAGCGACGGGTAGCAATGGGTCCGTGGTCGGACACGTATGCGCTGGTCGTTGAGAGCTTGTTTGTTGGATTCCCACATCCCAATCTGCTTCGAGCGCCTTGCTACTCCAATGATCTATATGTTATTGTTGTTTTTGCTAGCTTTGAAGGCGGGCCAATCTATACTTGATCCGCTTTCCTGCTACATGCTTCCACCTACACGCTGTTCATTTCTAAGTATTCGAAAGTTCTTTGATTTTTTTGGGGGGCAAGATCCTTCCATTTCTAATTGTTCCATCCTGGGCCTCTTCCTGGCCACTAGGGGGCCAGGAACAATCAGAAACGAGCACACTCAGAAATGAGCACGATCAGAAAGGAACGACGTGTATGGTATTGCTGTTCCTGCTACTTTTGCGCCGGGCCAATCTATCCTTCACCCGCCTTCCTGCTGAATGCTTCCACCCTGCTTCTCCCGACTGGCGGGTTACGGGGTGCGGACGTCGCCACCTGTTGTGTTTTTTTGCCGCTCTCGCTGCCGGACAGAGAGCGGTGCCGCTTCCCGCCATGCCCCGGCGCGCGTGCGGATTGCTCCTGCCGCGCTGCGACGTAAGGCGTAAGTGTCGGAGGTTGCTAGACCTCCCACCCTGACGCGTCGATTCAGGACTTGGCCGTGTTCGGTTCGCGAGAGGGCGTCGCGTCCGTCATTTTTGTGGGTCCAGGTCCGTCGGTTTCGGTCCCAGGCCGTCTTCACTGAGGGGAGGTTTGCGAAAGGCAGGTTTGTCCACCGCCGAATGTGTATATACACGTACACGTTATATTCTTAAGGAGGCTGTTAAGAGAGCCCCGCAGAAGCAAAGATCGTTCCCATCGGGGGGGGGGGGAACGGTATAATTCAAACATATCCGCTGTTTTGGTCTTCGCAGCGTCCAAGACGGCCCGATGGGCCCTCGATATCGCCCCAAGACGGCCTAAGAGGCCCCCCAGAGGGTTTGAAGGCGGCCCAAGAGGGCCCCAAGACTGCCCCAGATAATCCCGAGACTGCCCGCAATAAGCCCAAGATGCCCCCAGAAGGCTCCCAAGAGAGACCCACGAAAGCCATGGGAGACCCCAAAGAAGACCATTGGAGGCCCCAAAGAAGGCCCTAGATGGCTTCAGAAGACCCCTGGGGGGCCCCAGCTCCCCAAGACGGCCCAAGAAGGCCCAAGGACGGCCCAATACGGCCCCAGGACGGCCTAAAAGAGCACCAAAAACGCCCGGACGGCGTTCTCCTAAGAAGTACATCGAGCTGACCCGACGGTTGAGGCTCGAGGCTCGAGGCTTAAGTTCTTCGATTGAGAGAGACAGGCAATGGATCTGGATTCGAAGTTCGACGATCGAAGATTCCCTGAGTGCCTGGAGCCCTCCAGGCAGTCAGGAAGCTACCAACAATCGATTTGTCCGGAGCTACTGCGACTTCTTCGGCGTGTCATGGGAACGCTCCTTACTTCCTCAAAGGACCTTCTCGCGTGAAAACAAAACACTCCTTCCCCACTCCTGCGAGCAAGCGTGCTAGCGCATCGGGCGAATGCGGCGTCAGCAGGCGCCAGGGATGTCAGAAGATCGAGCCGGTCGTCCGTCCAGGCCTCGAGGCCCCCCTTTGCGGAAGCATGCGATGATTTACTGCTTTGCCGGGGAGGGTCCGGAACTGAGCGCATGGCGCGAGGCGCCAATGCAGTCTTGTGTGTATATATATATGTATATATATATATATATTGATCTATATATTGATCTATATACATATATGTGTGTGTGTGTGTGTGTGTGCGTGTGTGTGTGTGTGTGTGTCGGGGCGTCGCCGGGCGGAGCCAGGTGGGGTGGGGGGGGCGGGCTGCGGGGGGCGGTGCGTTTCGCGGGCAGGCCTCCCTCCGTCGCCGTTCCCTCCTCTCTCGTCCTCCCTTCTCTGGTTCTTCCTCGTCGCCTTCCTCCCCTCTTCTCCTTCGTCTTCCTCTTCTGCTCCTTCCTCTTGTTCTTCTTCTGCTGCTTCTTCTTCTTCTTCTTCCTCGTCGTCTTCCTCCTCGTCGGCCCCCCCCCCCCGCCCCCCCTTCCCAGGAGCAGCGGGGGACCTGAGCTCCACCAAGCGCCCCATAACCTCCTCCCCCTGGATTGGCGGGCGCCTGAGCTCCACCGACAGCTCCAAACCCTCCTCTTTCCGGCTTTTTTTCCCCGATTAGGCTTGCCTGGGATTCATGTTTGTTGACAGGTTGGTGCCTGGTGTTCTTATTGTGCCCATTCCCAGGAGGTTCCTGGGGTTCCCCAGGTTCCTCGGGCTCCCTGGCCCCAGCGCTTCGTATTCTTGCGTAGCCCGTTCCCCGGACGTTCCCTGGGTTCCCCAGGTTCCGCGGTCTCCCTGCCCTGGGTGCCTCGTATTCTTACGTTGCCCGTTCCCTGGTGGTTTCTTGGGTTCCCCGGCGTTCCTGGTCCTCGGATAATTTGAATTGGTTCCTCGGGTTCCCCGCTTTTTTCTAGGGTTCCCCAGCATTGCAAAGCAATGCC